CCATCATCATCATCGTCGTCGTCGCCATCATCATCGTCACCATCAGCAACATTATTATTACCATCACCGTTATCATCGTCATCATTATCGGCGTCGTCTTCGTCATCATCATCGTCATCATCATCATCGTCGTCGTCGTCGTCAGACCGGCATCACGGGCATGGCAGGTTCTTCAGAGTCTTCGCATGTTGACCGGCGGCGGCGGCGGCGGCGGAGGCACGGACACTGACCAGTGGGCAGCGGTACATCGTCGAGAGGATGAGGTAGAAGAAGAAGGAGGCTGAGCAAGAAACAAGGAAGGCAATGGGAACGACGGGAGGGGATGAAGTAGGAGTTTTGCATCCTACAGGCTAGGGCTATCTCCTAATTTTATACACAGGTCTACTGATAACGATTTATTACGTAAATCTATACTGAGATCCCCCCTAACCATATTAAATGCATATTCATCACAAAATATAAATTCTCTGGTGAGATATTGCGCATGCGCGAACACACTAACCTGCCCCCCACACACACACAGATACACACACACTATCTGTCTCTCTCCCTCCCACTTTTCATCTTTTTCTCGGAAGCTATATATACACACATATCAGGAGTGAATAATAATAGAATCATAATAATAATAATCTATTATTATTCACTCCTGCACATATGTATATATATATGTACACTCGCCTTTCTCCGTTGCTTTTCATTGCTCACTTCCTTGCTCCCCTCTCGCGGATAATAACGCCTATACGGCATCAGTCGCGCGGTGAAAAGTTTGCCAGCCAAATGGCCGTATTTCAGCCGAAACTTTTTCATCCCCCTATGCACAAAATGTTAATTTACGGCTATAATACACGCGCACGCGTGCGTGCGACCATACCCGCGTGTGCGCGTCTGTTAGCGTGTGTGTATATGGGTTTGTGTGACCGTATAAACGCGTTTTATAGCCGTATCTCGGCATTTTGTGGTTTGGCGGGTGAAAAAGTTGAGACTAAATAGCAGCCATTTGCTGCAACTGATGCCGTGGGCGATACTATCCGCGAGAGGGGGAGGGAAATACTGAGGGGAAGGGAGTGAGAGAGGAGGAGGAGGGAAAGAGGAGAGAAATGAGGGAGGGACGGGGGAGGGGGAATGTAGACGGAGATGTGCACACGCATGCGCAGTCACACACGCAGACAAACGCACGTACGGCACAAACGGCACACACACAGGAACGGGATCGATGTACATATTCCTTCTAATATAGTTACTTCTCTTGTCTTCCCGCTCACCCTCTCCCTCTCCGTGACTCTCATCGTCTCCCTCGCTCTCTCTCTCTCTCTCTCAGGCACACACGCGCGCGCGCGCGCGCACACACACACACACACACACACACACACACGCGCGCGCGCGCGCGCGCGCGCCCGCAGTAACTGATAGCGCGTTCACACGTAGCAAAATCCACGGTTCGTACGCATACGAAACAGAGTTTCGTACGTACTCGCGATAAATTTCCCTCGTCTGAACGACCACGTATAGCTATACTCAGTTCGAAACACGTATCACTATCCTGACAAAATGAGTGCGTTTCCTACGTACTTCGTATAGCTATACTCGTACGAAACACGTATCACTATCCTGACAAAATGAGTGCGTTTCCTACGTACTTCGTATAGCTATACTCGTACGAAACACGTATCACTATCCTGACAAAATGAGTGCGTTTCCTACGTACTTCGTATAGCTATACTCGTACGAAACACGTATCACTATCCTGACAAAATGAG